ATTGTTTCATCTTCCGCTAGCTCCTTCGTGCTCACTCTTCTTCTTTCTCGGGTTGCTGTTTGTCGCAACGTCTTCTCGTTCTCGTCTTCGTTCTCGCCGCCGCTGCTACGTTCCCGCTTGGAAATTTTCTCGCAGTCGCCTCGCGCGAGATTTCCTTGCACATTGCCGCGACTTCTTGTGTTGTGTTTTCCGTTCGATCCCTGCTCTGCGGATAGAGCAGCAAGGAGTTAGACCCACTGTTTGACTCTGAGCTCAATGGCTACTGTTCCTTCTCAACCACCGACTACTTCAGTGAAGGCTTTTTTTGTTGATATGGTTGGCTCTATGGGATCAGATCAAATTTTCCCTCAGTTTTACCACGAATCATTCGAAGGCCAGGAGGACTACAACCTTATGAAGAAGATGGGTAGGAAGGGTGGTAAGCTGACTATTCTTCTCTGATGCTGAAGTTTCCAACCTAGTTAACAAGTTCAAATTCACCCTTATTGGGAAGTTCCAATCGGGACATCCCAAAGTGGAAATCATTCGAAAGTCTTTTGAAGATCTCAAACTATTAGGACTCTGGAAGGTTGGCCTCTTTGATGAAAGACATGTCATGATACAATTATTTAAAGTGGAAGACTATGCCAAAATATTTTCCAAAAAGTTTATGACAATAGAAGGAAGATATATGAAACTGCTTAAGTGGTCTCCTAAATTTGACCCTAGTCAAGAACCACCTATAGTTCCATTCTGGTTTAAACTACCTGGCTTAAAGTTGCACTACTTCAACCACCAAGTCATCTACTCTATTGGAGCTGCATTAGGGAGACCTATGAAATTGGATACATCCACTTTCAATCTAACCAAACCTTCAGTTGCAAGAATTCTTGTTGAAAGGGATATAAATCTCCCTGATGTCGGCGAAATATGACTTGGTACTTCCCACAATGGGTATTGACAACCAATTATAGCTGAACAAAGACCATACTACTGCAATCACTGTAAACTGTTTGGGCACACCTCTGTCAAATGCTTCAGGCTTCACCCATATTTGAGATCGGCAGGGCCTAATAACATAATCCACAAGGAGGAAATATAGCAGACACTGTTAAACTTCCAGAAATGTTGAATGAGAATTTGACTCATAAGGCTACTCCTCACCTACCAGACCAGCAACTTCCACCTACTGTTGTTGAGGCAGCTCTTCCTCAGATTACAAATTCTTCGAATTGTGTTGTAACAGATGTTAGCCGAAGTGTCTTGGATCCACTTATTGCGAGAGAAGAGGGTACTCATGTTATGGAGGAGTGTCAGGATCAAGGTGTGTTGCAGGCTGAGTCTGATCAGCAGTTTACCTCCATTGAAGATCCACCTATTATTCACACGAGACTACCTCTGACAAATGATTAGCAGGTCCACAAGTCTAGGAAGAAGAAAGGAATATTAGATCTCAGTAACTCTCAGGATAACTGTATCATTGTTTCGAGCGGAAGCCTACATCTCAGTATGTTGTTGGACTCTCTCCCTAGATCGAAGGAAAGGGGAAGCGGTAGATCCACCTACTACACCCACCATGATTAGGAGCTGTTTGTTTTTGTTCTATTTTTGGGGAATATGATTGTAATCCCTGTGTGTGGCATCTTTGTACCCACTTACTAAAACCTTTGTATCATCTCTTTTTTATGAATGAATTTTGGCTTTAAATATAAATATATATATATATATATATATATAATGATATAGATATGCTATTGATGCAGTAAGATCATTGAATAACATCTTATTATTAAAATATCATACAATTATATTAATTTATGAGAAACTTACCTGATAAGCATATTATTTTCTTTTCCCTTCTATTATTAGAATTTAGGCATGTGAATATTCACTAGCTTTGTTTAACTCATTGTTATTTTGAACTAATTTTTTGGGTTAATTTAATTATTAAAAAATGAATGATAGAAGAGATATGTCCCATCGTCCATTTGTCCGTGTCACCTTGGTTAATTCCAAGCCCCATGCTGGGTCGTAACAAGATAAACGGCTTTACCACCAACAATTTCATTACAGTTGTTTCTTCTGCAACGGCTACCCAATAACTTATTCAAATAATTGCAACTTTCACAAACAACCCTTAAGTAGCCACACGACTCGATTTTGGCATTACCTTGCGAGCGCCTACTTCCAATAGCAACGCCCAACCGCAGGAGATCCCTTAACAAGCATAGCCGACGTGTTTTCTCCTTGGAAGTGCTTGATTCCATCAACATGCTTTCCTTGCATGAGACACAAATTTCTCTTCCATGTTCAAGCGTCTCAAAATCTTCTTCCCTACGGTCTCAACTTTAGCTCTCTTTCTCTCTTCTCTTATTTTCACTCTCTGTCGTCTCTTCTGGTTTGAATGGGGACACTTATTTGTCTCCCACTATCAAAATTATCGAGATGGTTTGTGTTCGACCGATTCCATTGTTTCAAACTTCCTATTATTTTTAGTATTTTTTTTTTATGAAGTTATTACTGTTTAACAAAGTAGGTTATCAACAAGCTCAATGAGGCACTTATATTCCTATAATTACGGTAATATAAACGAATAATAGGTGTAATATGCATGTTAGTTAAGGTTCAAACTGTTTAACCATTCAAATATGAATGTATAAAAGATTCAAATTATTCTAATGGCTACATCATATCTTATATATATATATATAATAATAATTTATATACTAAAGAGTGAAAAATGTATGTATAACCTAGCCAAACGAAGAGAAAAGAAAAATAAGAGATTTAATTTAAGTAAAGTGTATAAAGATTAAAATTTTCTTAGAAAAAAATATTCAATATTGGTGGGTGAGCTATTTTGATAGACTTTTCAATGAAATTTCTGAAAATACGGAAACTACGATCAACTTGAGTGATATTAACATCCTTAATAATAATAAAATGATTTATTTGTCCACCGCATTAGTAAAAAAGAAGTTGAAGAGGTTTTAAAGAAAACCAAGGGTGAAAAATAAGTAGAAACTGATGATATCCCAATTGAAGTGTGGAAATATTTAGGTGATTTGGGAGTTTCTTGGCTTACTAAACTCTTTAATATTATTTAAAAAACTAAAAGATGCCTAAAGAGTGGATGAAGAGTATTTTGGTTCCCATTTTTAATAATTAAGGGGATGCACAAGACTGTGCAAATTAAAGAGCAATTAAATTGATAAGTTATACTTTAAAATTATGGTAGAGGATAATTGAACATAAGTTAAGATGTATTATAAAGATTTCTCATAATCAGATTTTATTTATGCTCGACAGGTCTACTATGGAAGCTATACATTTTTTAGGAGGTTTGATGGAGAAGTACCAAAAGAATAAAGAGGATCTACATATGATTTCTATTAATTTAGAAAAAAAACTTTAGATAAGGTTCCAAGAGATATCCTTTGGAGAGTTCTAGAGAAGAAAGGTGTTGATATGATTTATATTCAAGTCATTAAAGATATGTATGCTAGAGCTGTTACTTGTGTTCGACAAAAGGAGGATTGATAAAATATTTTCTTATTTCAGTTGGATTACATCAGGGATCGACTTTAAGCTCATATCTTTTTTACTTTAGTTATGGATGCTCTTACTAGACATTTACCAAAGGATGTTTCTTGGTGTATACTTTTCGCTGATGATATCCTTCTTGTGGATAAGACTAGAAAAGCTTTCAAGAAAAAAATGAATTATGGAGATCTACATTGGAGTTTAAAAGCCTTCATTTGAGTAGAAATAAAACTGAATACATGGAATGTAATTTTAGTAGTAGTAGCTCGTAGTAACTCTAATGACAGAGTTCTGACTATGGGTGATCAAATTATTAAAATGTGTGAACGCTTTAGATATCTCGGTTCTATTGTTCAAAGTGATGTTGATTTGATATAGATGGGGGATGTTATTAGTAGAATTCAAGTTGGTTGGTTGAAGTGGAGAAATGCTTCTAGCCTATTGCGTGATAGAGAAGTACCACTTAGACTGAAAGGAAAATTTTATAAGATGGTGTTGAGACCTGCAATGCTCTATGACACTGTATGTTGGCCTTTAAAAGAGAAGCATAAAACTAAGTTAAGTGTTGTTGAGATGAGAATGCTTAGGTGGATGAGTGGCTTTACACTTAGAGACAAAATGCGAAATGAATACATCCATGATGGGGTTGGTGCAACTCCAGTGGCGGAAAAAAATATACAAAGTTGTCTTAGTTGCTTTGGTCACATTAAACGTCGACCAGATGATGATCTGACGGGGAGAGTATATGGTTTAGATTCAGCTTCTGTTAAGAAAGGTAGAGCTAAACCTAGAAAGACTTGGGCTTATTGTATAAATATGATCTTAATTTATTAGAATTCAATGAAAATATGACACTCAATAGGACGCAATGGGGACAAAAAGATTCATGTAGCTGACCCCACGTAATGGGATAAAGGCTTGTTGTTGTTGTTGTATATTTTATATATTTTTATTTTAAATGCAAACCAATATGTTCTTAAAGACACTCAAAATAATTTTAGATATTTTTAATTTATTTAAAAATAACCATATTTTATTTAAAATTATTAATCATCTTCTGTTTCAAATCAGAGCAAGCACAATAAAACAAGAAATAGGAAAACAAAGATCCCAAATAGTCCCTTTCTTGTCCTTGTAAAGAAGTTTTATTTAGTTTGATAAATTGCAGTGGCTTCCTTTTATTCCTATCCTTTTAGTAAGTGAAGCCAAACACTACTTTTATCATAAATGACATCTATTGCTTAGCAGAACTTCATAAAAAGACGTGTCTTCTGAACTGAGCTCTAATTCTTTGTTTTACTATAATTTCAGTCACTCTCCAATTCATATCACTTCATCTGAATTCTTCAAAATAATTAAAGCATGGGTTTTGTTTGCCTTGTTGGCTTGATAAGCTTTTTCATTGTGAAATGTTAGAAAGGTCTAACCTGTAGTGGTCGTTTATTAATTATTATTATTTTTTCCTATGAGAGTTACAGATTCCTGACCTTGTCGTTGACTATGATATGAAGAGGTTTGTTTTCACTGTATTGCATCAAGAGGAGGTGATGGGGTTGATTAAGCATAACAATTCTTCTCCAGATTTCCATCATATTTCGGGCGATCAGACTCTTAATAAACAGGATTTGTACATGATAAAAGACGAGCAGAAATGGGATGATCTGTCTGAGTTCTCCTGTGAAAGGAGGGAAGTCATTTCACATGATGGTGCGAGAGTCCCACTAACAATCGTATACTCTAAAGGAGCAGAGCATATCGGTCAATCTCCTGGTATTTTACATGGATATGGAGCTTATGGAGAAGTACTAGACAAAAGCTTTTCTTCTGATTACACAACTCTACTTTCTCGTGATTGGGTTATTGCATATGCTGATGTCAGGTAACATAGATTTTCTTTGGCAGTCCCACTTTTAGAGGTGTGCAATCAGTTAATTTGGATGGATCAAATTAGTCAAATTAAATGAAACCAAAATCCAAAATCCCAAAGATAAACTGACCATGTTTTTGCTCAAACCGATCCGAACCGAACCAAAATATATTTCGGTTTCATCGGTTTGCTTTGGTGCAAACTGAAATTTAGCATTTGGCATAAAATAATTAAAATTTAAGATTCTATTTCAATATTAACATTTTTATTTCTCTTTGTTATCTCACAATTTTTTTTTAAACTAAACTAACCAAAAATAAAAATGTCATATGCTCAATTGTTTTATTTTCAAATGAATTTAATTTTCCAATCTTCATATAATTCGTTTTTTCGATTTCTTTGCTTTAACGAATATGAAAGCAGAGCTGAAAACCAAAAACTAAATATTAAATTTTTTTCAAAAAAAAAAAAAACAAATTGTTTTTTTTAAACGGAACTGAATCAACCAAATGAGCTTGGCTTGGTTCTGTTCGGGTTTTTGATTATGACCAAATAATGCACATCAATACCCACTTCTGCTCCTCATACTCCCTATCTACATACAAATGTGGTTCACACAATCATTCTCAAAAACACAAACTCTCAGACTCATAATCCCTTTTGTTGATGGAATACGGTGATGCTGCTAAAGAAATTTGTGCTTGTTATTCCAAAGTTTTATTTTGTATGATTGATTTTTCCTCATGTTGTAATTCTGTATACCTACAAATGAAGATCTTATGAGCCTACATTGATTGGACTAAGCCATACAAATCTTGTAGGGGTGGAGGAGGGGATTTGGCTTGGCATAAGGCTGGAACTGGACATTATAAACTAAATTCTGTTTATGATTTTGCTTCGTGTGCAATGTTTCTTATAAATGAAGGCTATGTTCATAAAAATCAGCTTGGTGCAATTGGCTGTAGTGCTGGTGGCCTTCTTGTTGGTGCAACAATCAATATGTTTCCTGATTTGTTCTCTGCTGCGTTATTAAAGGTAACGGAAGTTTTTCACTAGCATGTTATTTACTAATGTGTTTCTTATGGTTGTTGTTGCACTTGATTATGCTGCATAACTTTAGTTTTGAGGATTTTATTTTTCAGAGCATCAGAGGATGCAAATCGGTAACATGCTTGGGATTAATCATCTTAAGATTTTCTTTCAAAAGTTTATTTTCTACTTAGTCATTGTCACGCAATGCACTAGCTCTAATTATTTGGGATTAGTTTCGGAATTCTCCATTCATTCTTATCAAGCACTACTTTAAGTGTGACTTTATATATTGTCTTTTTGCATAACATACAGCTATGTTTCATTTGTTTTACTCTTTTTTCTCAATAATCTTTTCACATTAAATCATGGGTATCTTGCTTAGTTTGCTCATTTTTTGGTTCCCAATGCTTACCCGAAATCAGAATTACCTAGTTCAATGAGTACTTGTTTCATTATCTCCCCAACATAATTGATTCTCATCATACTCTTGAATTTTTTGTAACTTTAGACGAGGTCTCACCTGTTATAATTTTGAAAAATTGAACTAGCATTCACTAAATCTCTCAGTTCTCTTTTTGCAAGAATTTTCAGAAGCAATAGAATAAAATATTAAGTACTTGTCCTTGATGTATCAAGTGATTGGATATTTTTTGATCACAGCATTGTTACTTTTAATCTTTGCAGTACTCTATCATACATATCTTATTATCCCACACCAAATCGATTCTCATGATACTATCATAAGTCTTCTTGAGATTGAAACAAATGATTTGTCAATCATTATTTTGCTTTCTATATTTTACTATTAATCGTTTTATTACATAAATCACCTTCAAAGTATATCTCCTCAGTATATATGTATGTATGTATGTATGCATATTAAAAGAAATGGCTATAGGCTATTATACGAGCCTCTTGCCACTCCTAATGTGCCTAACAATTCGAGTATCACCTTCTTAAGGCTCACGTCGATTTGAGGGGTCTTAAACTGAGGATGCAAACCAACACACACACACACACACACACACACACATATATATATATATATATCCTCAGCATGCAACTAAATTAATTTTAGATATTGAACATATAATCTATAACTATCACTTATGGCTGCTATAGACCTTAAATTTTATTCCTCTATAACTATCATTTTATCATGAATCATGAAACCTCCTTTGTTTTCTGCTGTCATCGGATATTTATTGGCAAAGCTTGTGATTTTATTTGAAAATAAAGTTCAACCTTAAAATATTCAGTACAAGCTATTCGTATAGATTTTGGAACTATAAAGAATATGAGCATAAGATACTATTCCGAAGGATAAGATGATAAAACTTCGGATGAGATGTTGTTTATCACATGGTTTAAAATTACGCAATGTTTTTTTGAAAAATTCACAATGAGGCGAGCTTCATTGCCCGCCTCAAGCTGCTCCTCGCTTCAGTTTTACTGATTTTTTCACAATTAGATCTTGATTTATAAATACAAGTAAAATAGCATTGATAAACATTTATTGCTTGCCCATATAATATGCAATTGAGGATGTAATTGAGGGTTTAATTATCAACATAGTCATTGTTTAAAAATCTAGTAAACATCAATATTATTTAACTAAGAGGAATATGATTAAGACTAATCTGAGTAGGAATTGGTGAATATTGATATAATTGAGGATAAAATGAGGGAGAAAGCAAAACGTTTTGCTGGTGATTCCATTGAAGCCTCGTTGAGAGTTAAGAGTGATGGAGAATTTTGAATTTAAAAATTCTAACTTTAATGACTTGTTATGTTTTTATTTTTATGGAGAAGGATAATAGTGGGAGAGAGATTATTTGTGCCGAGCTTTGTTATGTTATTGTATTTTATTTTGATGTTTGATAATCATTTTTATTTTATGATTTAATGTTTTGATGTTAACATATTAAGTCTTATTTTGAACAATTTATTACCTTTTACTATATTAGGATATTAATATATTACATTTTAATATATTAATAGATTATGATGTTCATATTATTGCTTCATTTTTTATGCTTTGAACTAAGTACAATACTTATATGGTTTTGAGGCTTACTCCTCAATACACAAACAAAAACACCTCAATACCCCAAATGTTGGTTAATTGTTAAAAATATTTTTTTTTTGAGGATGAGCTAATTGGATACTTTCGTTGAGCGAAATTTTATATGAAATTATATGGCTAGTTTCATTTAGAATATTCTTGTAGAAGTTGTATGATAATCTAGAAAAATATCTTACATTAATAAAAAGACTTATTATAGGGATGTATAGAAGTATTTCTGCAGCTTATAATATTTTAGAGTAAACAAGAAATCTTGCAAAAAGTGCAATGAATACAGCAAAATAAACATTTTGATGACTTATATAAAGGTGCGGTGCGAAGGAAGGGAGAGAAAGAGATTTATAAAAAAAATAAAAAATACATAAGAGATCAAATTGCTTTCGTTTGGGGAGATGTTCTAGAAGCAAATGAGATTTCTGTTACAGAGGAAGGCATAAGGAATTATGAGAACTATAATTTGAAAAATTATTATATTAGAATTTAATGAAAAAATGTTGAAATAGCGTAGCGAGTAAATATTATTTTATATTATAGATTGATAAAAAAATGAAATAAAAGTTAATTTAAAAAAAATGGAGTAGGTATAAAGTTTTAGTTTCTTATGAGACATGGCTTTAGAATTTGGAGTGGAATTCTGGAAAGAATTTTATCTCTTGGTAGCTTCAATGCATTACACCTTAATAATGAAAGGAACCAAAATAAGAATCCCTTCAACGTAAGAAAAAAATGAAAAATAGAAATATCTAACAACGAAAATACAATCATGAAATTCGGTGAAATTTGAGTGGACAAATTGCTGTGAGGAAGCATTTATGAAGTAGAAAATGTGCTTGATAACTACTTGAAATTGATAGTCCTCTTCGGTACAAAAGGCTTTCGTATTTACCGTGATGCATCTTCAAGAGGACTTGGATGTGTGCTTATGCAACACGAGAAGTTACTCATTTATGCCTCTAGACAATAGAAAAATCATGATAGTAATTATACGACACATGGTTTGGAGCTAGTAGTAGTTGCATTTGCTTTGAAAATTTGGAGCCATTATTTATGGAGTTAGGGGTGAACTGTTCTCATATCACCAAAGTTTAAAGTATATTTTCGCACAAAAGGAGTTGAATTAAAATAAAGATGATGACTTGAGCCCATTAATGATTATGATTTAGATATACAATATCACCTGGGGAAAGCAAATGTAGTGATAGATGCATCAAGTTGGAAGAAAGACAACGATGCTAATTGGGTAATTACGCAACAAAAAGAGCTAATTAAAGATATGGAGTGCTTGGAGTTATTAGTCGTGGCACCGCTTGATGAAAGTTTTAAATTGTTAAATCAGATGTCAATTCAAATAGCTTTGAAGGATATAATAAGATATACATTGCCACATGATGCAGGGTTTCAGAAAATATTAGACTAGGTGAATGCAGGTTAGATGGATAAATATATCAGAAGCTTAAAGGCTTATTTTGGTGGCCAGGTCTAAAACAGTGTAACAGAGTTCATGACAAAGTGTTCTACTTGTCAAATGGTTAAGGCTGAGCATCAGATGTGGAGTGGCTTGTTACAATCATTGCTTATACCAGAGTGGAAATTATGCCGGTGTAGAAAAATTCAAGTGGCTTTAGGCACAATTAACATTCAATACAACTTTTCACTATCAAACAAACGGTTCATCAGAGAGAACGATTCAAATTTTGGAAAGACCTTAGACATTATGTGCTTGATTTTGGAGGAAATTGGGAAATGCACATACCTTATAGAATTTTCCTATAACAATAGCTTCCAGACAAGTATTGGTATGGCTTTGTTTGAAGCTCAATTTCAAAGAAAATGTAGGATGCTTATTTATTGGGCATAAACTAGTGAAAGGAAGATAATTGGTGTTGATTTATTTGATGAAGCTACTGAGAAGATTCAACTAATTCATGATAAACTAAGAACAATTCTTGATTGACAAAGGAAGTATTATGATGCTAAGCATTGACCAGTTGAATTTGAGGTAGAAGAATTTATTTTTTTGAAGGTCAGTCCTATGAAAGGTGTTAAACGTTTTGTAAAGTTTGGGAAGTTGAGCCCATGATATATTGGTTCGCATAAACTTGTGGAGAAAACTAAGAAGGTTGTTGATTGGCTTGCCCTACTTGCACATATGTAGAGGATATATAATATGCTTCATATCTTTTTAATGCAAAAATATATTGTTGATGAGGCTAGCAAGATTGTTACATACCCCCTAGCTCTCAACCTGACCTGATATTTGTGGATGAATTAGAAAGAATTATAGACTATGATGTGAAGGAATAGTCATTCTTTTTTTCATGGTTTATGAAAGCATGTGACAAAAATAGCTGCCACTTTGGAGGAAGAATTAGAAATGAGAGAATTATATTGACACATGCTTAATTAAGTTATTAATTATGTTTTAATAATTTAAATTTTGAGGATGAAATTTTTATGCAAGGTGATTGTAATAATAACCTCTTAAGTTATAATTAACTATATATAATAATAATAAGAAGAATAAGAATAATAATAAGAATAATAATAATAATAATAAATGAAAATGAAATGAAATCTGTTAGGACACTAGCGAAGCAGGTGTTGTTCGATCATTTCTCCCACCGTCCTCGGGAAAATGTAAGAGAGAGTTTATCCTCTTCTTTGTTGATTTGAACCCAACGAGAGAATCCAAAGGGAGTGAGAGAAAGAGGAGGAGGAGGAGGAGGAGGAGGAAAAATGTTGTAGAAACCTTTTACTAGGAAGGTCGAGTATCTTGTAACACTTTGCATTCATGAGTGTCTCGAAACGAGCTTTTGAGCATTCGTCGTTGAGAGAAATCAAATCTACAAGTCTCGTGAGCTCCAATTGAGGCTACATGGGGGGCTCTAAGGCAATGTCTAGTATCCTATTTTAAGAT